TTAAAAGTGTTTGTAAATTAGTTCAAGAAAATCTTTATTGAAAAATTTATTTAAATAATGTATATAAAAAAGATATAAAATTTAATTATATATTGTTTTATATCTTATACTTTCAGTTTGCGTATTTTTAAATGAATTACTAGACAAATTTATTTATGGAATATCTTTAATTTTGTATATCATATTTAAGAATACATACATATGTATATGCCAACAACAACGCTTATTTATTAAATGTATATATTTATTAAATTAAAATTTAAGTTAATGATGAGATAATTTAATTGTGGGAAAATTGAAACATGTATTAAAAATTGCAGTTGCATAATTTAGCATAAGCTAAATTTTTCCTTTTCTTTATTTTAACTCAGCTGTACAATCAACTAAATATAATAAAATGCATATTATCGCTTACAAAAACAAATGTAGGCAAACCTTATGAGCAAAACAAATTATATTATTTGCACACAAATTGATATACATATACTGCACAAAAACAACGATCTTGCCAAATTTGCTAAAAAAAATGCACACGCTTCGCGTAAGCAAATGTAGAATCAGTCAAACCAAAAAAGAAACAACAAAATGTTTACACATTCGCTTAAAACAAAAAACAAAAAAATAAAATTGCTCAAAACCACCCTTAAATTCATGCTCATTACTCAGCTTTCTATGATAATTTTTTTCTCAAATATTTGTAACAAGTAAATTTAAACTAAATTGAAATTGAAATTTTTAAAGTATATTTGGTATTGTTATCACATTGCTACAAAATATTGAAATATATAATTTTAAAAATTTTATATATACATGCATATTATCACTAAACGATATTAATAAAAATTAGTTATTAAAATTATTGTTTATATTCAGAAATATAAAAATACACATATACATATATAACAGGGAAAAATTAAACATTGTACGCAATTAACCATTTAATAAATATTCAATAAAAAATTATTGCACATACAAAACCAAATATACATCCAGCATAAGACTTTGTCCAAAAATTTTATTCTTAAACTACATATTTTTACTTATTTTTGTTATTATAATTTCTAAATCGTATTTAGCAATAAAAATAATTCTTAAAACATAAATGTAGGCATAATCTCATTACAGATAAAATATATTATTTGCATATACATTGTACACACAAACATATACTGCTTACAAATTTGCATACATTTATTTGATGCACAAAAACAACGATCTTTTCAAATTTGCTTTAAAAAATTTACGCGCAACTCATAGTCAAATGTTCAATCAATTAAACAAAAAAAACAACAAAATGTACACACATTCTGACACACATGCATATCAGCGCTTAAAATAAAAGAAATAATAAAAACATGCGAAATAGACACCTTCCTAAATTTCATAAAAAAAAACTACAACCCAAAATTCAACCATAGTTTCGATTCGTTTATCATCTTTCAGAAGTTTCAATGCTTCTTCTTCTCTAGATTACTTTAGCAAATTACACGTAATTTGAAATTTGAATTTTCAATTTCAATTGTGGCTGTAATTTAGAAATTAAATTACAAATTACGATTATACTGTAATTCGTAATTGAAGTTTTCAATTAAATTACACATATAATTTGGAAATTCAATTATCAATTAAATTACTCAGTAATTTATAATTGAGTGTAATCTAATTAAAAATGTAATCATTATTGCACAGCTCTGCTAAGGTCACATACATATGTTATCTATAGCATCTGACTAACTCTCGATCTAGCAAGAAATATCCAACTACATTGTTGTTATATGAACTCACAGTGGCGTCGGTACGCGTCAGCGATGTCGGCGACCGCCGACGGACTCTCGCCCACAGGGGCCTCGCAAAAAGTTACCGACTGTGGATTCTAAGCACTTAATAAATATTTTGATCAATTTGGTTTGATAATGGCATTAACCATATTCGAAGTATTCCCGAATGTTTATATAGTAACCAGATTAATGTGCACAGTTCCAGTCAGTATAGCTTCGACGGAAAGAAGCTTCTCAAAGTTAAAATAAATTAAGACGTACTAGAAAAGTATGATGAGCCAAGAGAGACTATTCCCAGTGGAAATTCTATATACTGAAGCAAAAATAGCAATTCATTCATTTTAATTTGTGTTTATTTTAATTTGATTAGCAATAAAACTTTCAATCATGCTTTGTCGTATTAGTGAATGTAACTTATTTATTTTTACAACTGGGTTATAAAGGGAGTCTCGCAATTCTGATGTCGCCGTCGTGCAGAGTTGGTCTCCGTCACTGTGAACTCAATATGGACGTTTGTAAGGAAAAAGGGTATCTTATAATGAAATAGGCTCTCAACTACTTTGAAAATAAATTAATACATATTTAATACTTTTTCCAAACAAATCATTAGTAATGCTCGAAGCTGCGGTCGCATAACATAGTTATAGATGCTGGGGTGTTAAAACTTGATGCTATCAAACTGCAAAAAAGAAATATATACTTCCTCTTTAAATTGCAACGCTTAACCATCACATTTGCTAATAATACAACTTAGACACAATCGCTCAAGCACATGAGAGTAGCTGAATATTGAAAATTACCTGCCAGTCCAACCAAACACATAAAATCACTTCTCTTGCCATCAATTCCTGTATTTCATAGATTGTGAACGTTTCATTTTACTTCATTCAACATTATCTATAGGACCAACTTTTTAAGATTTGCTATAGCCTATGATTTGAAATTTTTGGGATTGAACAGCGATCAGTTGCTGAGCACTCATACGTTTTAACAAACAGAAATACATTCCTGTAATATATATCTTACATATTCCTTTTGGATAATACAATATTTAATATTTAATAATATATAATTTTCATCATTCATTTTGCAGCCCACGATAATCTATTTAACAATTTAACTGGTATAATTGAATCACCACCAGTCGGTTCCATTGCTACTCAAGAGCCCTATAGTTGGCGAATAGAACTACCACGAGATCAATTAATCACACTCGAGTTTAAGGAGTATCTTAGTGGCTTAAACGTAAGTACAAATAAATATTTTTACAATTTTTCAATCATTTACCGCCTTTTAATTTTTATATATAGCTCTATGATGGGTTTAGTGACATTGCTCTGAAAGTAGAAATTCCTTTTTCTCCTTGGAGATTTGTTTCAAGCACTAATGTAGTCTTCCTAAATTCTATTAACGATGAATTACAACCATTTCTAATAAATTGGAGTGCAGTTAGCAAAGAAGTTGTGAGAAGTAACCAAACAGTTAATAAGTGTGGAGAAGACTTAATAATATCCTTTAGTACAGCTGTAAAACTAAATTCACCCGGTTACCCTAATGGCTACGATGATAACTTGCACTGTACTTATATAATCAAACCGGAAGAAAATATTCACCACGTTGTCTTTGAATTAATGTTTTTGGACTTAGAAGAAATTTCAGATTGTAGTGCTGATAACGTGCGAGTTTTTTCCTCCAGTAATCTAGAGGATTGGCATGAAGAGCTGAAAGTATGCAATAGCAAAAAGGAAGAAACTAAAGCAATTGCAACAATACGAGGCACGCCTTACTTAAAGGTAGAGTTTAAGAGCGATGCTAGTATCAACGGAACCGGGTTCTCTTCATTCCTCACTACAGAATGTGGCTCGAACATAACTAACAGCAATGTGGGCACAATTATAGGAAATCATGTCATGCGTTCGCGCTTGATGAACTTTACTTGTTTGTGGCATATTGAGGTAAGACCAGGCAAGCAAATAAGCGTTGAGTTCAAGTTTAATAGAACAATTTCAACTGATAAAGACTGTGCACAGTATGCGATAGTATATGATGGCTTAGATAGTCATGCACCAATTTTTCCACCTGGTCATATTTGTCAAGCAGTTGGTCACACTGTAAATTTGTTAACAACCAGTACCAATCATGCAATTATCAAATATGTTTTACCGTTTTCTTGGATAACTTTTAACAGAGCCCAAATATGGAATATTACCTATCGTGAGTATAGTGAGTGTGATGAAGAAATTTATTTAACGCACTACGCCAGTTACATAAATATTAGTTCGCCACGTTATCCGAACGTACCTCATCCACACACTGAATGCAAGTGGATCATAATTGGACCACCTGGAGAAACACTCCAACTAAGTTTTATAGATCGATTTGATATGAATACTCGGTATTGCGATAAAGAGTTTATTGAGATATTTGATGGAGCTACTGATTTGGCTCCTAACTTAGGTCACTTTTGCAGACGTCCGAATATTGTACGCTCCACATCCAACATATTGACTATACATTATTTCACCGATATCGCTGAACCTCATAATGGTTTTCGTGTAAATGCTTCTATTGCTAGGTGTGGTGGAAGTTACAATTCAATGTATGGTGACATTACCTCATTGAATTATCCGGCTCTTGGTGCATATCCCAAAAATACGATATGTGAATATTCAATTAAACTAATTAGAAATGCTCGCATGATTTTAAATTTCACGGATTTACATATTCCGTTCAATAATAATAATGTAAATAATTCAGATCATCTAGATATATTCAGAATTCTCGATGAGAACACTACCGAATTAGTAACTGTTATATATGGAAATGAAACATTACCCCAAGTGGAGATTGATGGGAAGGAAGTGTTGATAATATTTTCAACATTTCTTGAAAATCATAACTATCGTGGATTTAAAATAAATTATAAACGAATTTCTAGTACATGCTATCGGTATGTTAGTGGGCTATCTGGTAATATTGAATTAGATATTCCAAGAGATAATTCAATGCCCACATTTTGTCGTTGGAAAATTACTGTACCAAAAGGACAAGTAGTACGTTTCGAACTCCTAGATACTGACAGATCTTATAGGTTGGTTTCAAATAATGGATCGGAAACGTGAGTATAAAATATAAGTTATTTTAACTATAATCATTTTACATTCAAAATATTATTTAAATTATTTCAATATCACCGCATTCTATTGAAGAACAGAGTGATATTTCCAACAGTTTATTTCTGTAAAAATTTTTTAATATATTTGAACTATATAAATATTATATATAATTGAAACAGTTACATTAAAACTATTAAAGTATTATTGTCTCAATATTTCTGACAGATCGCCACCACGTTCTCAAGTCAACTATTCTCTTAATTTTAAAATCTTCAATAGCATCGATTCCATTGCTAAGATAACTGAATTCTATTTTGAAGACTATAATTCCTCTAACGTAATACAGTCAACCGATAACTTAATGTATATCCAAATTAGAATCGGTCGATTAATTCACTCAATACGCAAAATACATGCACGTTATTCTTCCGACCATGAATCGCACTGCCCGGTGGATATTCCAACTCATCTTACCTCCGGTTTCTTATCTGTAACTGCGGATCAATTCAATTATACGAACTTTTACTGTCGAACTCAATTTTATCAGAATGGCGAACAGACTTTGACATTTAACATTAGCTCACTTGTTTACGGCCACAGCAATACGTACTACCAAATCAGTCCGGTACGGTTTAAGGACGAGCAACTGTTTGTACCATTTGTTGCGCTTACTTCAAATGTTAGCAATATGGTAATTTCTTCTTCTGCAAAGAGGGGCTCCATAATTACCTTCCAAACTGAATTTGTGCAATTTAAGGAATTTATGCTAAACTTCCGCCGTCACGAATGTGGTGGAGTACAGCAATTGTCAAACGGTTTTCAACTGAAAAGTCCGGAATTTAGTATTGAAAATTATGGACCTCTAGAATGTGTTTGGATTTTAAGAGCAACTTACACCACATCTTACCACTTAAATGGTACAATAAATTTCTCAGATACTTGTGACCGAGAGTACTTGGTTGTATATGCAGGACCGTCAAATGTATTTCCGGAAATAG